AATATTTTTATAGAGAAAATCCCAACAATAACATTGCTTAACATAGATAACTCACCATCCGAATGTTAGGAGAAGACTTGTTTGGTTTCACTAGATGATGTAGTGTAGGCTGCAACTATCTGTAAACAGAAGCCAAACATATCATCCAAAGTTGTAATATGTATATACAATTCCGGAAGGAGTTTCCAGCGCGGTAATAAGGCTTATGTTTATAGTTTATGTAACATAAGCCTTCGAAACTCTTGCCTTTATCTGTCGCAGTCATAGTTTATGTAAATGCAAAGGACTCACCCCACCAGGATATAAATTGCCAACTGCGAAAATTTGAAGGAGATATAGTCATGAAACTTAAAAGACAGAAACTTGGCATAACAAATCCAGATATTGATAGCACAAATACTGTTCTCATGAATGGCTTTATATAAATGAAAATTTGGTACTTGAGTTCCAAGCTCCACAGGGTGGTTCACAAGGTACATGCCTGGTGAGGTGTATACCGAAGGAACCCACACAAGACAACCCGAGCAAATATAAAAACCGGCTGTAAAAAATCACATGAGATAAAAGATAGACAAGGTTTAAGCTCTAGTGTGTTATGCATGCGATAATAATCTGGATAAATGCTGCTACGTTAGCCAGATAAACAGCACAATTAACTGGCAAGGAACTTATGGCGAACACTAAAGAGCTTGTTTTCTAGTACCATATATGATGGAGTCTTTTGTCTATTGATACCAGGTCCAAATGCATAGCTCTGTCATGTGCAATGTCCTTGGTGTTCCAGTAACCAGCTTCCCACCAGAATAATTTAGTAACATACACCAGCATCAATGTGGTGTTCACCAGCATTGAATCAGATACTCTCCCATTTAGTTCATACTGGTTAAGAAAATAATAGGAAGCACAATAAAAGAGAGGTTTTATAAACAATACAAAGTTCAAATGAAAAAAGTAAACTCAGTAAGACATATCGTGAACTAGTAGAAAGCCTTCTAGGTTATCTTGTAAAGCGTGTGGAGTTCGCTGCTTACAAGATCATAATACCTGTTTTATGCAGTAGGTGACTGCAAGAACTGCCCAAAACATCATCCCAAATCTACAATTGGTAAAAACCTTGATGTCAAAGTTCTTACCAATTCGAGGGTACAATTCCATGCCCTGCAAAGGATGACACAAATTATACATTGCGAGAATAGCATTTCAACTTGATTATAACCACTGAATATTATATTCTTGACAATTAAGATACATTTTTTCCCTCCAAATTCTAACATTAAGGACCAAAAACTATTTCTCTTGTTTTTAGTAACTGTAAAATGATGCTACTGAAGAATTTACAAATGGAACTATGTCCATCGATCCTCAAATAAATATTGACTAAGAGACTTTTAAAATAAAAGTGGGATCATTTGAAAGCTGCCCACTCACCCAGTAGAACTTGAAAATGTATCAGCTACTACTATAAAGATTGTTACGATACTAGTCAGGAATTAAACACAACACAAGGGGATTTTCTCAAAACGCTTACTAGATTGAATGACTCGTGCACTTACAAGTTTCACTCTCACTTCAATTCTAGCCTCACACGTTCACAAGTCACACATGATCTTGTGAACCACTTTCTACCATTTAGCCCCTCTGAATTAGGATCTCTCATTTTGGTAGATAACCCTAAATATCCTTGCTAAGAAATCTGCGCTCATTGTGTTAACCTAACCCCAGTTAACGCCAACCTATTTAGTATATTCACTTCCCTTAATCTTAGGACGAGATAAGGAAAGTCTTCAAGCTTGAGTATACCCTCTCCAAGTATATCCTCCAGCTCTCCCTGAGTATCAAGTCACGTCATCCTTGCTCGGCCCAACTTGCTCCAAAAGCCACGAAGCTTAAAGCCCACCAGCCTGCTCGCACTTCTCCTGAAGTACTTCTCAACTGGCACTGCTACAGGTCACTACTACAACAGCTACAACTTCAGAACTCAATTATTAGGTTCCCACATGAACCAGAATCACTTGACGAAGGTGCAACAAGACCCTTGTATGTAAAAAGAAAAAAGATAAGTCTTGGAAAGATAGAAGTGCAAGAAGTGCAATTCTGCAATCTCATAGAATAAGAAAGAAAAGGAACACGTCCTACATGATAAAAGACACTTACTTTTATGTACAAGAGAACACAAAATATGAAGCTCCCAAAAATAAGGGCAGAAAATATTTCACCCAATTGATCATAGACAAGTGGAGGGTTGAATATCCCAAGCCTGAATTACACAAAGAAGTAACACAAACACTGCAGCAACGAGCTATTAAACTTAGAAAGAAGATGAACATTTAGTTTGGGATTACAAGAAATAAGGGTAAAATATAGCGTATATTCAAATATAAAGTCATCAGAGCAATTCTTACCACCAAAGGCCAAGATAGGTCGCTATTGTAACAAACAACATAAGCTGCCACACCTTTTGCCTATAAGAACATAATCCAGACAGTTTACACGTATCATTTTCCAGGTCCTAAGCTATATGAACTTATAACGTAAGTTTAGAAGCTACACCATTATCTATATATACCTTGTATACAGGACGGTGTCCGGTTGGAGAAATGGGGCCCTCGACTCTTTTACCAGGTAGAAGTAGCTGAAGAGCAGCCTCGAACGCTCCATAGCAAAAAATGATTTTCCAAGCGATAAGAGTGGGTCTTGGCCATATGTTAACGAGTCCCTGAAGTCCATTCTTCCCAACTTTGGGCAACAGAACCATCATGATGTACCATTGTGTAATTTCTCACACGATTCCATCTCTTAATTCAGTGACCCAGTTCTCGATCGAGCATGGGTAATCACTAATCAGTAAAGCTTAAATGCCCAAGTGATTGGGAGCTATCGATGAATGAATGAAATGGGTAATCAATAAAGCTTACAGGAGAATGACGAAAGGTGGAAAAAGAGCGAGAAACGAGAGCATCGACGCATAGGTGACGACAGGATCATGCACAGTCAGTCTCTGCCATTTTCTTCTTCTTCTCTCTCTCTCTGTGAAATGGAATCTGCGAAGGTTAACGATGAACATCTCACAGGTCCTAACCAAGTCGTCTGTGTCATCCGCCAATCAAATATTAGTCCAATTTTTTACTGTGGCTTGAGTGGTTCCACGTTGCATGCTCTCTCCACGTGTTTCAAATTTTCACTTTTTACCTTCAGCTCGATACGGTTTGGTTTATGTCCGTCTGAGTCGAATATTTTATTAAGTCAACCAAAATAATAAAAAAGAAAGAATCGAAACCGCTCACAATAAAAGAAGTACAAAAAAGGTATAAATGTAATTCAGGATAAGAAAAAAGAACGTCTGCGTTCCAGCGTTCTTCTATGGGCTTTTGGTGAATAACC